TTTCACCAAACTATCATACCGCCTGACAACGACGTAAAATCTTCGACACGCGACGTGGTCGCTCTTTGAAAGAGCGGCCTACAATGACGATATGGTGATTCTTTTGTGAAATTTAAATTGTGGTGGTCACTGCAAGGGAATTTATCGCCAAGTAATCATTGTTCTGCAGCGGTAAACTTTCTTTGCAATCAAAATTTTACTATATGATACAGAGAAATTTGCAGTGTAGTTTGGGAAAAAGACACTCAAAAGCAAGACACTATCTTTTTTCATTGCCAGAACGTTTTATAAAGGTCTGCCTAGGGCACGATCACAAACAAAGTTAGAATTCCTTCAGCTGAGGAATGACCACAAGAATTTAGATAAAAAAGGAAGAAATGAATGCCATACAACAGTGGAAACATGTCCTCTTTCACAGCAATGTGGATCTCGTTGAAATGCGGATGTTTTTGTGGAAGATCTTCTCCAAAATTGTATCATTTAATCCCGTAAATTTCTTCTCAGTTCAGCAAATTCCCCTGTTTCCATTGCTGCTCGTGAGATTTAAAACTCCCCGTGGCACCGCTGCACGCTCGTAACGGATTAATAACAGACCGTGCCGTTGATAAGAAGATAAACTATTTAGAAGCTAAAATTAGGAACATCAAATAATGTGCTTGTTTTTTGGAAAGACTTTCTTGCAGTGCTGTAGTACGGAGAATAATATACTACTTCACAGACAATGTGCATCATCGCGCTTGAATCTCTCTGAATAGAGCTCTTTTCTTAGACTGTTAGTAATACTCTGATGGCTTAAATGTCGAAGAGATTTGAACATTGCATTTGGTCATTAGAAAGGCTTCTTTAGAATACTGTAGTAAAAGGAATAAAATCGTGCTTCACACGCACCACTACTTTTCGTGCTGATTTTCGTTATTCGATCAAAAACTTCTCTCAGTCTGCTAGAGAGTTGTAGATTTTTTTGTATGGGAATTGTAAAAGAAACACTGTACTTTTCTATACTTCGATGTTCTATTTTCATTTGACCTACCAAACATACCCACTGCTAAGTCTAAGAAACGTAAGCCTATGTACGAGTAGCATATGGATATACCGTGTTTGGATAACGTGAAGCACATGAATGAGCGACCCGTTTCGCTTTACAAAAACTTTCCTTCGCACTCTCAGTGATCATTCAAAAGCTTGAATCTCTAAATACTGCGCTATGTAACTATTTTTAGGAAAGCTCCTTTTCAATGCTCCAGACGGAAAAAAGCATTTGGTCTCATACATGACATTTTTCACAGGACAGACCTCATCCTTTAGACTACCAATAATCATTCGATAGCGTAAGATTCAACAACTCCACCGCTGTGCTTACTTTATGGAAACACCGTTTTTTTGCAAAATGACGGGGAAAACAGGATTTAGTAGAATACTCGAACATGAGTCTTTTGGCTAATCTACAGGCTGCGGAAGGCGCGCAGAGGAAGGGAATTAGCTTGCACTTTCAACACGGTGATCGAACGATGGCGCTATTATTACATATATAACAATTTTTACTACTCAGTTAGAATTCATTTTTCCCTTTGAGAAAACTCGTGCGAACGTACGGCTCTGACACTCCAGCATTTTCTCTACACAATTATGTGCATTTCGTGCTTTCAGCAAAGTAACTGTAAATTCGCGCTGCCATTGTAGAATATATATATATATATATTTTTTTTGAATACTACGGTCTTATAAGTGGGTCTTTTGAAAGGGCACTTTAGGCAGTATTCAAAGGTTCGAGCTTTCGAAAAATTGCTAGCACTCTTTTGAAAATTCTCGTCCAGCGAAAGGGGCCGTTTCTCATATCCCTGGTGAGCTAAAAAGAACTATGGGTATCAAGTTATTTCATCTCAAGTTCCTTATAGATGTTGCGCAGATTTCAGTGAACTTCCTTCTTTTAAGCATTTGTAGTCTACTAACTTTTGAATAAAAGCAGCTAATCTCTTAGAAAAACATCTCGTGCTACAAGCGAAATGTCGGTTCTCAAAAGGACACCGAATCAAGGTTTATTTCTACTCACAAACTGTTTGGCGATACTGCACTGTTCCGATAGCGAGAAGCTTGATGCCATCGTTGTGAAATCTATCCACGTACCAGAGTAGAAAATGCGCGCCGAGCACGAAACCCGATATTCTTTCAGCTGTAACAAGGCCCTAAAATTTCTCCATTCAAAATCAAAAAATATCATTGAAGCCGGTGTGATTTGTGCTGTAGAATGTTATTGAAAGTCTAAAGAAAAGCTGTGTCGGGCAAAAAAACTTTATGTGTGGATTATAATTTTGCTTTTGATGTTACAGCGTAATATAAAACCCATTTTAAAAACAATTTGTTTAATTTTTGCTTTTATTTCATTTGATCTGTCATCGCAGTATTTTTTTTTCTTTGCTGCACGGATCCCAGTCATCCAATTCTTTTTCCGTCTTCTCCTTAAACGAATTGGAATTGTGGTTGAACGAGCTTCGTTGCAATCTCGAAAACGGCCCTGTTGTAAAATTTCAAAGGGCGTTGTTTTTGATTGCTGGAGAGATCTAGGGGTAGGGCTAGGCCGTGCGCGCTCCGCGATGAGCATTACAACCACACAACCACGCGTCCCCTTCTCCTCCCTCCAGGAGAAAGTTACACTTTTCAAATTCTTGAGATTTGAGCCATTGAACAGTTATGAATATATAAAAAAAAGTGAAAATGAATTTTTCTTCAAAAAGCTGAAAATGGGTATGCAAAGCGGAGGAAAACCTTTACATCTACCATCGACTGTCATGACGAGACCAAGGATAGAATAATGTAGTTTACAAATTCGACCCTCTTAGTCTGACTCACGTACATCCCGGCCTATTTCATGAATAATGAAACTCTGCTGATTTTGCTTGCTTAACGCATCTCCAAACAATATACATATGATATAGTCTTCGGAATTCACCGCCGTTCATACAGATGTCTCAAATCACTATCCTATCCATGATTGAATTCCTTACTAAACAGTAGTGGTTGTAATTATGGATAACTAGAGCAGTTCATAGCCTCCCTAGAAGATTGCCAAACGCGCTAAATCTATGAGTGCTCTAGGAACTTTACACAAAATTGAGAAGGCTTGCAACGCCACAGAGTCTATTAGCAATGTCTTCATGTTTGAAGTTGCTCATATTTGAAATTGTGGTATAGTCGCCAGCTGCTACTCCACTGTGATCATTTTAATGATAATTCTCTCGTTTCTGCCATCAGCTCAACACCAGAGTAATAGATATATGAGTTGAATTTAGTTGCAGTAGAATTGAGTGATGTGCAGAACTTTGAACGTTAGAGGGAAATAAACTCTCATTTTAACTTTTCCAGGGTTACATGTTACTAATCTCACTACCAACGCTCCTTTTTCAATATCTATCTTTCTGCAACACAGCACATCGGTCTGCCAGCAACCAAGCGTCGTATGTTTGGCCTGGTCCTAAATCAAAAATGCAAAAGTCTCAGTGCGGCTCTATAGGGCCAAAGCTGACTGTCATTCAAATATCACTGTACATATTACTAAAGCGCCACATATTTGAGAAGCCCGAGACGATCAAATTTTGCGCGGCAGATCACCTTAGTTATACAACTTTAGTATACATCGGGAACGACACTTCTGTGACTGACCATTAGCTCGTGGTGTAGCATAAATAAAAGAAGGTATTTCTACACTAATAATATGCGCAGCAGTCTTCTTAACTCTGAAAACATACTGCAGGACGGGAAAGAGTGTTTAGATACCATCAACTACGCCTTTCCTCGAAAGAGGAGATAGCATGAATTCATTATAGTAGAGTTGATGTGTGAAATATTACTAGGCGACCATAGATCCTATTGCAATACACTGTTGACAGTACTCATGATATTAACGCAAAATGTAGGCATTGTAGAAACAGTTATCTCATATCTCAGTAAGCACACAATCGATGCGCTCTTCTGTGTAGGGCATGTATGTTTATGTTAAAGTATTTGAAGCGTCTAATTATGCACTGCACCGACCGGCACTCAGAACCGCTGGCGAAATCCCTCTCGATGTGTACGCTTCGCTTCTTAATCTTCGTTACCGTCTTTGTTGAGAAGTGCCTCGTTTCAAATTTCAAACTACCGCAAACTTAAATAGCTCAGCGTTTATCTCTACAAAACGATAATAACAGCAAAATCAATTTGACAAGAGCATACTTATATCAATGATTTTGAAATCTACAGAACTTATGGCCACATATCAATTGACAGAGAATTCAACCGTTTGTGGCAACATCTGTGTTTCACTGCATTCGATGAGGTAGAGGAGAAAAGATAGAATATAGCGAGAAGAGTATTTAGATGTATTGTAGGATGATCTAAGTGTATGCCGTTGTATAATGAGGCTAATTACATTTCGTCCTTAGTGAATGAAACAGCGCCATGCACTCAAAATCGACCGGTCTTTTCATCAGAAATGATGAAATACTATTTTTCATACAAAACAAAGGCCTAATCACAGCTTACTTAGTATCTCGTTAGCATACCTTGTACAAGGAGTATACCTTTAAAAAATGCACTGGATTGGGGAGGGGAGGGTTCAACTCATGCTGGTCCATTGTGCATTGCTTGTGGTACAATTGAATTGACACCAATGAATGACGTTGTAATGTATAAGCTAGCAATATTTCCGGAAAATCCTAGAATGGCGTGACAAAAGCATGACCGCATGGATCATACAAGACTTACAACCCCAGAATAGATGGGATCGTGAAAATTGACGAAAAGAGTCGACGATTGTTGTGGTCGTCGGAATGTTAGAGAAAGCCATCACTAAGATTGTCGACCTTCTTGACAAAAATTCTGAAAATAAGCACTCAAACGCTGAGAGGATTGCACTTTTTTGACGCTACTAAATGCTTCGAAATCACAGTATTTCTACTGCTTTTTTCGCCAGTGTTATGATGTTGCTTATATAACTTAGAGAATTGAGTGGTGAACAAAAGCACGGCCTCAGGAGGGAATCAAACCCGCGTTTCATCCTATAAGGGGAAAACGTGCTCTACCACTACACCACCGAAGCATATTTGCCCGATCACTAGTGATAGTGGCGTCACGAATATGATGAAACGCGGGTTCGATTCCCGACTGAGGACATGTTTTTGCTCAGCACTCAATTCTCTAAACTATTGAATGTTTTGCGTAGTCGACAAAATGCTTAAGAGATGGCATTAATATTTACTCTCTTTCACTTTGTATGACGGTAAGAGGACATGGTTAGCGGATAGATCCGAGTAGTACTGGTGGATGGTTCTCTCCATAGTTCTTGAAGCTGTAAATATCTCTTCATGGTATCGGAGTGCAGTCGGACAGGCCCTTCGTCTTTAGTCAGTCCATTCAAGTACCTATAATAGGCCACATAACATGTTGGCTCAAACGAATTATAAGATTAATAAACAGTTTGTCCAATGGTTCACGGTATTCTGTAACAACTTTTGAACTCTTTCAATTCCTAAACTAACACAGATGCTGCGTAAAGCGTGTATCATCAAAGTGCTCTGAGCTCTTGATAACATACACTTAACTTTCATTGAAAGCATCTTTTCTACAATGAAAAACTACTAATGTTAAAATGGGTCTGCAGCATATACAGGAGCTAGCATACAAATGAAAAAGTGCTTCTACGTATATATTTACTAAGTAGCACAAAGTAATTCAGCGAACCATCTTTTTTTCAACCTCAGCATTGATCCGATGATGCACTGATTTTTTTAATCAGTAGACACTAGACTGCTAACAACAAGAGCAATTCGGTTGACTAATAGGTGGCGTTTCGGCGGTTTCGCCTCCTACAGATCCTGAAACCCTTCTCCAGTCAATCATCCTCTCATTCTTCACGAAAGAGACACATCATCTAATGTTGAGCTTGCACAGATGTTCTATAATCTGTTGCAAACTAGAGTAGATTTCAGTGGTATTTCGATCGAAGGTACCGGTTTTACTACACATACCTTTGAAGAGCCCTTTTGTAGTTATGCATAGTTTTGTCCAAAGTAATGGACATGATTTGTTCTTGCTCACCTGATATATTTTGGTCTTGATAGGCTTTACGTTTAACAACGTCTATTCATCCAAGCCTTCCGCGACATTCACCACCTTATAGCCATTAGTTGGCAGTTCTCCAGAACAAATTCAGAGACTTGTGGCTAATCTTTTGTACATACAGATATTTTTTTTACTAAATTTGCTGACGCTGGAATCTCTCCTTAGTTTTATTATCGAGTGCTATAAAATGGATCATTGGACAAAAAACAAGTCATTATCAACTCACGATCACTCAATTAACAATCTTCTAGTAGCACCCTTTCCTTTGCTGACGGCGCCATTTCCGGCCGGCGGGCACCTCGGACGGTTTATGAAGTGAGGCTGCCAACGCCTGCTCCAAGGGTAATATGATAGTTTTTTTAATAAATTCCATACTTTTTCGTCAATAAATGATGTTTCTGTGCGAACAAATGGTCACACACGATGAAACAAACCTCAATAAAGTTATTTTCAATAGAAGAACATAATTGCTCCATTTTTAAGGTACACCTCTGAAGGGAAGAACAGCGATCAACGAAAAACCCACTATTTAGAAATTTTATCAAACCTTTCTATAATAGTCTATTCCTAGTTGTCCACATTCAAGTCAAATCTGCTCTTTTTCTATCACTTTTAAATGTTTCATTGCATAAAGTTCATAAAATTCATCATAATGCCTGAAAATTGTAAAAAATAAATAATTACTAAAAAATGGTGTCTCATATTGCAGGCGATTTCAATTCATCAAAATTCCTCAATTTTTTCTTAGTAACAATGCATTATAGATCCCCATATCTCAGATCAATGCGTAACTTCGTTTCAATTTCTTATTCATAGTTGTTAAATGAAAATCGACAAAACTTATCTTGATTAGCTGACGCGAGGTTGTTAAATTAGTCGTAGAAGTTCGGCTGATGTTTCCGCGACCCGCCTTCTTCAGACCCTGGGCGTATGTAGTATTAGTCTATTAGAATGATTCGGATGGTCATATTTATATGATGCCTAGGTCAGGTTAGAAGATCAAACGAGGAAAGGGCGCGAGATCACGCGTGATGGTGACGCACTCGTCCTTCCGATTCATTTCGGGGTTTTGCACCTTGATCGTCCAAAATGCCTCAAGAGTTTTGCGCGTGGATGTTTTTGATTCCTGTGCCAGGATTGTGACAGTCACATCAAAATCCTTGTTGCTGTGTTTTTGTGCCCTATGTAAACTTAAAGTTCGGCTTTATCTATTTTAGATTTACTATCTAGATGTTCTTTTATCCGGATGAAAAAAGATCTACCCGTTTCGCCTATGTATTCTTACCCGCATGTTATACATGTTAACAAATAAATTCTGCCCGATCTCATACAATCCCCCTCTTTTCTGTTAGGGCAGATCATAAATTTCTGGTGTTGCACAATCGATCATAAAGCCTATTGCGGATGGCGTATGGTCGGAGGTGGGATTTCAAGAACTACCACGAAATTTTCGAGACCGCATCTTTTTAGGTACCTTTTTACCGCGCTAACCAATTTTTTTTATATAAATGGCAGTTTGAAGGGAACTCTTGAACTTGGACTAAACTTTTAAAAAGAAACATGAAAAACTGCACAATCTCCTTCAAACTACCAATTATGTTCGTTCAGCAAAGTCTTGATAGAAATAGCCCCATTACACATTTGCACACAATTAAATCGTGCCACAATACATCGCTTACTCACCTTGTTATACTGCATCTTTTTTCCTTTATCGCGTAGGTTGAATTCTCTCTCATTTGACATGCGATCAAAAATTCTGCCGGTTTTAGGATCATTGTAGAATTCTGTACCTGTGAATATGGAATTGCTGTTATTGTCGCGATGTAGAGATTAACGTTGAGCCATTCAAGCTTGAAGTAGTTTGAAGTCTGAAACAAGGCGCTCCTCAACGAAGACTTCAGAAAAGATTAAAAGTGGAAGCGTACACCACAAAGGAGACCAGTCAACGGTCATGAGCATCGGTCGGTGCAGTGCATAATTAGAAAGGATTACATATTGTGTGTTTATTGAGATATGAGACAACTATATCTACAACGCTTGCATTTTGTGTTAACCTTGCGAGTGCTGTCAATAGCGTACTGCATTAGCAGTGATCTATGGTTGCCGGAATTCATGCTACCCTCGCTGATAATGACATAACATGACGACATAAAGTTTTGACCCATACTCTAGATGCTACACAGGCCCTCCAGGAACCCATCTGTAGCACCGTCCTCGATTTAGCAGATCTCTTGATGTAACATTCCTCTATGAAGGAATCGAGGCCGTGGAATAGACAACCGTAAGTTGGATGATGGAATCACCTGACATTGTAGTGAGCGACAATCGAGCTTGTGGTTTTTGATTTGAATCATACCTCTCCAATAGATAATGGTCTGTAGAAAGGCGGTCGAATGGCGAGGTATAATTTATTTTAAAAGTTACAGGCTCTACTAACGGTCACTACAATGTCAGGCAACTCCATCACCTGGCTTACAATGATCTATTGCTCGGCGTCGATTTTTTTGTAGAAGAGTATAACCTTAGGGGATTAGCTGAATGGAGGACGAAGCTACTAATGAGTTCCACGACGACGAAGCAGGCGCCTGTATAGCACTTATACTATGGCTCAAAATATATGATGCCCTCATCAGATTATTATTGTTTGAACAGCGCCTACAGAAAAAGCGGTCGGATAAAAACTAAATCCTCTTTCGAGTAAAATTAAATGGTGTTCAAGCACTCTTGCCTGCCCTGCAATAAGTTTCCAGCGGTAAGAAAACTGCTACAACCAACTATTGTTGTAAAATACCTTCTCCCATTTACAAAGTTGCACAGAGTTCAGCACATCACATGTGAGCGGTGCATATATTAGGTGCCAAATTACGTCAAGCTTTGATTCACGAAAGAATTTGCCGTTTTCACCATTACCTATGGGTTAATGAGGTGAAATCAGCTTAATTCACGTTTGAAAAGTGCTAAAAGATGACTGCACAAGCTTAGGACTATGGCTAAGCATGTTGTAACGCGATGTATTCATGTAAATTGCCGCGGAAACTCTTTCGAATTGTGGTATTCTATTTCTCCGTGGAATCCTGTCATTCTATTTAGAACAATAGACTGAAAGCGTTCTTATGAAATTCTGATAGCAGTTTTATTCGTGAAGATTTCTTCGAGTTCTAAAATATGCTCAGAATCACTCAGATCTGTCTTTGTTTTTCAAGAAACTGATTTCTTGAAAAATTTGAACGCAGTGTTGCACTTCTGTAGGATACTTGATAAAGAGTGCACGATGCACACGAATTTCGTTTCTGGATCTATAGTCCTGAGTCCGCAGAGCCCACTAACGCTCCGTCGTTATCGAACTGTAATCCAGACCTATGACATATGGCAGAAGCAACAGGTTATTCATAACCAAGCCAACTCCATTGCCGAGAAAGTCAAACAATATCGAAGACGGAAGTTTTATACTCTACATCAAGTAAAAATCCACCTAACAGAGGGTGTTATACACTCGATTGTTTTTTGATTGGTATTCTTATCACATTATACCTTTGTTTTGAGTATTTTATTGAGACCATGCTCCACTTTCGATAGATCTTTTCGTTATAAATTGAGCCAACATATCATGTGGTTTGCTAAGAGCTCTTGTACAGCCCGATACACGTGTTTCGTCCTTACAGACTCGTCAGTCGAGCAAAACCCTTCATCTTTCAATCTTTTTATTAGTCAGTTCTTTTGGGAGCCATACTCTCTCTATAGAGAGATATCGAAGATGAAAATACCAGCCAAAGAGCAACCGAGTGTACAACACTCTGTGTTAGGTGAAAATTTCACTCGACATAGAGTGTCAAACTCTTCTTCGATACCTCTCTGTGGGGAGAGTAGGGCTCCCAAAAGAACTGACTTTTAAAAAGATGGAAAGACGACTGACGAGTCTGTAAGGACAAAACACGTGTATCGGGCTGTACAAGAGTCCTTACCAGACCACATGATATG